TCACTTCCTAACAACCACAGTCTGGAGACTTGTTCAGCTGAAGTTACCGAGCCGCTTATCTGTCCATTCCATTCCTTGAGTAAACACTTACATTCGAGAAATTTTGCAACTCTTTCAAAAATTGGAGGAAACAATAAAAATTGAAGCAGTAGGAAGGACAGTGGGTAAAAAGACAATGAGTCTGAGACATAAAGTGTCTGCTGGATCCCAGGGCACACAGGCGGTGAGAAGAGAAACAAGAATCCCTGTGAAATGCCATCCTGCCAGTTTCTGTCACGTTGGGTACAAAGAAAAGCTGCCAGAGGTTCTAGAGAAAACGTAATTACAGTTTTTGAACAGCTGAAAACCATATCATGTTAGTCCTGCTCACTGCTTTCACGGACTTAAAGTAGGCAGGGCTGAAACCCAACAAAACAGCAGGCACGCTCAAAGCACTGAGTAAAATATGCTTTTATTGATTTTTAGAGAGAAAGGAAGGGGGAAAGGGGAGAGAGAGAGAGAGAGAGAGAGAGAGAGAAACATTGATGTGAGAGCAAAACATCCATCGCTGCCTTCTGTATGCCCCCATCAGGGGCATGTTCCCTTACCGGGAATTGAACCAGCAACACTTTGGTGCACAGGACAAGGCCAAACCAACTGAACCACACTGGGCAGGGAAAAATACATTAATTTTTAAGCTCCATAGGTTCTGCCCTCTAGAAGCAGACCTGATAGTAAAACAATCTTCAGGATTAATGCTCCGAACCTACAACAGCACCACTGACAGGTTCTCTTTGACAGGGGGAGGGGTGGGGCAGCAGGAAAAGTATGTAACTTGGAATCCGGAGACTTTTATCCAGGTGCTGGCTCTGCTATTTATTAGCTGCCTGACCTGGGCAAGCTCTTTAAATTCTATTAACTTCAATTTCCTCATCTGTAAAGTGGCTTAATAACATCCACCCTGCCCACTCATATGGGGAATTGTGAGCATCAGCCAGGCTCAGGTAGGTCACATAGGATCGTATATGTAAGAGCACTTGTAATACAAGTTCCGTGACAATGCTGGAATCTTAGAGTTCAGTAATATTGGCTAAACTCATTTTCCAATCAATTGGTTTCAGTGGATATAGAGAGTTTTTTAAATAAAAAAGTTTGCTCTCCACATATGTGGGCATAATTCTTCACATGGATCTTTTGTTTGAAGTTGGTGTAACAATGTGTGGATTCCAGAGTTTTATTTCCCTCTCTTGTGTTGTGAGTATATTGGTTTTGCATATGTGGCTAAAAATGCCTACTCTTGGATATAGAACTGATTATTAGAGAAAATGTAGCCACACCATCATCTCATCCCAAGTCCCTAAGGAAGTATTCAGGGCTGAAAAACAAAACTGGTAAGTTTCACAAAACAGTAGTGCTAAACTTTATACACCACATTTCAGCTCAGTAAAGAATTGGACCTAGTGATATATAAACATATACATAATTCCACCCTGGTTCATTTTAGAAACTAAAATTGACCTTTCGCAGTTATTAGATTTCTAAAACCCTTCTTATGCTTCTTTCTGAAGACACATACAGTTAGCCAACTATTTTATACCTTACAGACGAGTGGGTGTATTGATACAAATTCTGCTTCTCCTGTTTATCTCTCTGAGTTGGACTATTGTGTATTTATTATGAATCTGTGGCCAAGTAATACATATTCCCAAGTAATGGAAGACCTTTTGAGTCAGGGAAGAGGGCTCATACATCCTTCACACATTTCAAAATGACTGCATACCAAGAGTAATCCAAAGTGTTTTTATAG